TACTCACATTTTCACTTGGGACCACAGGAGAACAGTGAAGCCCATGAGTAAAAAGATGGGAGTCAGTACCTTGATTATGAGAGAAGAGTCTACAGGAGGAAAAAGGAGTTGAAATTAATTACTTTATGCACTGGAAGTTGACATCTTTTATCAAAGGTTCTTCGAGGAAAGAATACAGTTCAGTAGCGGTATCTCTGGGATCCCCCTGCGTGTTTTAAAACTCACAGTTGATTTTGGTTCTGAAGGTAATGTTGGCTGGTAGCCCAGGCCCCTCTTTAGTGAGAGCACTCACAGAGCAAGTATACTCTGTGTTCTCCTTCAGACTCTCTATGGTCACAAACTTCACGTGGGGATCTGCAACTGAGACATTGGACCGATCTAGATGTACACAGGATGATACATAGATTCAATAATTGTGCTGGGCACCATCCTGACTAAGTTTAATTCAAATCAGGTTTATCTGACACTGCCCAGAAATACAAAATAAATTCAATCATGTAAATAATTAGAACACGTCCACAGACTGAGATTAACATGATGAAGAAGATCAACATTGCTGGTTTATTCCTCCACACTCTCTCGCAACCTGACCTGGCAGCCAAACAGATCCTACTTCCTGCACTGTAACCAGGTACCCCATGATGAATGCTGGCTGAGCTGGATCATCTTCATTGTAATGCCACTCCAGTGTCACAGAAGAGGAAGTACTCTGAACAGGTTCAACCAGACTTGGGCGCTGAACAGAATCTGAGAAACAGGAGATAGTAATGAGGAAGGAAGGCTGAACTAATTAAAACATTTGCAGCTTAGCTGGTGTCAAAGCAACAATGCAGTTTCTCTAAACAAAGTTTCCCCTGAGTTCAAAAACCTCAACTTCTATAAAATACCTATTCTAATATGGTATTTTGTTATTTAAACCTGTAGCTCTTCGGGTGATTGCATCACAGCAATTACTCCACTCTGCATATCAGAACTGCAAAACAGGAAAGACTATCTTGTTTACAGGGTGCCCCTATTAGTCAAAGATAAGATATCCTGTGTCAAAATTTTAACTACTACTCTGTAAAAATTGTAAAAGTACAGTACAATGTACCATTTTAAAATAAAGGACTTTTCTGTATTCATTTTTTAAGGATTATTGCTTTTTTCTGAATTTTGTAAACACATTGAATTTTATCATTAAAAGCAACCTCTGTTAAAAAAAAGTTTCATGTTTTGTTTTTTACAATTTAAAAAATTTTTTTTTTACAGTGTATAAAAACGTTTACTTTCAACTGCACACTCCAGATCCAAACTATGATAGAAGTTTTCTCACCACTATTCTGTGCTAGATACCAGAGACTTAACAGAAGAACAAGGTAAAAAGCTAAAGATTTGATGCTTACAGAGTCCCATTCTCAATATCATGGTATCATTCTTGGATCACAATAAGCAATTGAAGCAGCCGAGATTGTCAGAAAACCTACAAGTCAAGAAAAACTGGTTCTGTTTAAACTCCACATCTTTTATCTGCTTAATTTGTCGTGGAAAAATGAGGAAACAGGCCTCATGGCCCTGGAACTGTTTGTTTTTCAGTTGCCCTTTTTAGCCACTGAAAACAGGGAACGTTGTATAATTCAGGTTGAATACTTGAGGTATATACTAAATACTTTTGTTAAACACCTTTAATTAAAGCTTAAGGTCTGCACTTCAATCATATATTTAATTTTAAAATTTACTTTGGTGCTATGCAAAGTCAAAAATTACAAAAATTATGGTATTTCTGACAAACTTGGGAACCTACCAGAACAGACAAAGAGTATAATCACATGAGAGTCAATCTTAACTGCACTTTGTAAGAAGAATTATGACATAAAAACTTAAAAAATAAAATAAAATACTTCTAATTTTCAGTGGCTAAAACACAGCGCTCAGCCTCAAATGTCTCTTCTCTACATAATAAATGAATACAATAGACACACACACGCGATAACAAAACTCACTGAATTCCTGTGAGTAACCAGTCTGTATCTCCAGTAGTCTATATCCATTGTCCGTGCATCCATAAATATAAAACGTATACCTGTGACCTGCTCGGAATTTACCTAAAAATAAAAATATGACAGTGAATGCTAAACAAGAGTAAATGTATTTACAATAATTGCTGAATGAAAACAACAATAAAACTTACTAGCATGTAATAACAATGCATTATTTCCCTCTGGCACTTTCCACTGCGGAGTGCAAGGCACTGCATTTCCCAGCATGCACCACTCCACAACATAGCCACAGGTGGCAGTGCTCTGATCGTCCCATGCCAGATTGAAACCACCCTCGCTGGTGCTGTCTAAACGCTTCTGTACTGGGAGATTTTCTGGGGAAAAAAGTCCAAAACAAAGCAAAATAACTCAGGACTTTAGACCCTGGCTGAGTAGATTTGAAAATGCAAAGTGTTTTTCTGCTTCTAAATTCTAATAAAACTTGAGTTATTGTACTCTGCCATCAAAATCTTAGAAATGCAGTATCTAACCAGATGCTTACTCTTGATGGCAGTAACACTGTGAGGAATTTTGGAGTTGTTTTTGACCAGGATATGTTCTTCAATGTGCACATTACACAACTGTATGACTGCTTTCTTCCATTTGTGCAATAGCGCCAAAATTAGAGCATCCTGTCTCAGAGTGATGCTGAAAAACTAGTTCATCCACTTATTATTTCTAGGCTGGACTACAGTAATTCATTATTATCAGGATGTCCTAAAAACTCCCTAAAAAGCCTTAAGTCAATCCAAAGTGCTGCAGCAAGAGTACTAACAGAAAGAGAGAGCATATTTCTCCTGTTTTGGCTTCCCTTCATTGGCTTCTTGTTAAATCCAGAATTGAATTCTTCTGCTCCTCACATACAAGGTCTTAAATAATCTGGCTCCATCTTATCTTAATGACCTTGTAGTACCATATCACCCTATAAGAGCACTTCGCTCTTGCACTGCAGGCCTACTTGTTGTTCGTAGAGTATTTAAAAGTAGAACGGGAGGCAGAGCCTTCAGTTTTCAGGCCCTTCTTCTGTGGAACCAGCTTCCAGTTTGGATTCAGGAGACAGACACTATGTCTACTTTTAAGATTAGGCTTAAAACTTTCCTTTTTGCTAAAGCATATAATTAGGGCTGGATCAGGTGACCCTGAATCGTCCCTTAATTATGCTGCAATAGGCGTACATTGCTGGGGGATTCCCATGATGCACTGGGTGTTTCTTCCTCACTCACTATGTGTTAATAGACCTCTCTGCATTGAATCATACTTGTTATTAATCTCTGGTGACACTCGTTGTTTCACTTTTTTTAGTTTTTTAATTCAAGGAAACAAACAACAGAGATATTTGTTGTTAATACATTTACATTTCTAGGCTGGGCTACTTTAAATTGTTATAATCAGTCTTAAAAGTTTTTAAAAAGTCTCTTTTAACCCTTTAGTTGATCCAAAATTCTGCAGCAAGAGTACTGGCAGTGACTAGAAAGACAGAGCATATGTCTCCTTGGCTTCTCTTCATTGGCTCCCTCTTAAATCCAGAATCGAATTTAAAATCCTGCTCCTCACATACAGGGCCCTGAATAATCCTGCTCCCTCTTAATGACCCCAAGCTAAGAAATTTACAGAGTTTTTGTTAAATTAAATATACCGTAATATTTTATTTGTTTTATCAAAGGAAAAAAAACTGTTAAATGTCTAAGTAAGCATTTAAATTTAAGAGACTCTGGGTGTAGAGAAGCTGCTCACCTTTGTGCTCTGCTGGTGGGATGGTGATGTTGGCGGGGATGGAGGTGCCAGAGGGGAGGACAGCCTGGACAGTGAAGTCACACTTTCCTGGGCCAATGGACACCACTGCCTGGCCCACGCTGCTGTTCTTCGACTCTGTTTGGCCTTCCTGTGACCACTGAACCGTGTACTCTTGTATGTTTATTGTGGCTGCTGTGCCAGCAATACACTGAGAATAAATTAGTAATTAAGGGCGAAGGATGTTCAAGGTAACGGTGACATACTGTATATTCTCTAAAACCAGAGTACTATTCCACCAACTATTTGTGCTTAAAGGGCACAGAAAAATGACTTACTGGCTTCCACATCAGAGTAACTTGACGGGTGCGCGAGTTAGACAGCGGCTGTATTCTTCTCCATAAATCCAAGGACACCAGTGGATCTGAGGAAAATGACTTGTTTAAAGCATAACAGGCAGCAGATCATTGAACCAGAGCACTTTGTTTGTTTGTTGTATGTACCAAAGCAAGCCAAGACCAAGACTTGTTAGGTTAGTTGGTGATTCTAAATTGGCCACAGTAGATAAAGTACTTACAGCATGTAGAATAAAATATATGGTGAAATGTGGCTTTGAGTGGTCGAAAAGAAAAGTGTTGTATCAAAGCCTGATAGTACATGGAGAATGAAAGAAAATGAAAGAATGAAATTTCTTTGGGAGTTTGTTGCTAAGCTCTTGCTTTTTACTTTACTGATATTTTCAAGTATTTGTAATTTTAACAAACAAGAGAATTGGAAGAGACCTCAAACACATCCAGCAAAGTGTCAGCTTGCTCTTTTGTAAAATAATACTTGTAGTTTGATTACTCTATAACAGGCTTAATAAATCGTTGTGCACTGATGATTTTTCATGTGAAGATCATGTTAAGAAAAACAACTGCAAACACAAATGTTGCATTTAAGTCTCTTTTCAAATGAACAAACCCATCACAAGGATAAGCAACACAAGAGAAAAGAAAAATATATTTGTATGCAATAATTGCTCCTTCGTGCAGCATCATTTTGCAGATAAAAGCTAAACACTGAAAATTAATTTTTGTTCTTCAATAATTTTAGTCTTTCTCACACTTTATTAAATTTGGACTTGGACACGATATGATATTTGTAAAACAACATTTTTTCTAATATTTATATTTACCTGTTATGAAGGTTTCTTCTGCCCATTCTCCCCAGAGTCGTCCATTGACAGTGCAGCGTACTCTGACATTGTACTTCGTGTTGGGAACCAGGTGCTCCAGTTTTGTGTCGCAGAAACTGCTCATAATGTTGTTGCACCTCAGCTGTTACAGAAGTAAATGGAAAAAAAAACATGCACTAAAATGTCAACTCTTCACTCAACAGGTTGATGATTATTATTATTAACTTAAATGAATTAACCTCCACGGTGCCGAGTGGGACTGTAGCGACCTGACAGATAAGGTTCACATGAGTCAAGCTTTCCTGCATGCTCCAGGACACTGTGGCCTCTGTCACCCCGCGGTTCACACTCAGCGACTTCACAACAGGAAACACTAATGGCAACACACACACAAACCATGTATCTTATATCAGTGTATTTTCTGCACTGGTTGTGCAGTGAACATTCAAACAGTACAAAAACAACACCGACGCTGATTTCACTACACAGTGTAGGTAAATTGTGAAAGCATCAACCACAGAGCAGTTTAAATTGACATGTACATGTCTTTATGTCTTCAAAAACACAACTGAGAATATGTTGTTTAGAGTACAAAGATGACCCCTGACCTCTGTCAGAGATGTTGAAGCTATAACGTTCCATCTCCTCTCCTAGCTTGTCCTTCACCCACACACTGATGTTATAATTTTGCAGGTGTGGCACAGCTGGAAAAGTACATGATGACTGCTCACAGGTGAAGGGAGACTTGTCTGAGTTTCTGTGTTTTTAACAAACAATAGAATTGGAAAAGACGTCAAACACATCCAGCACAACAGCTTACACTTTTGTGAAATAATATTTATGTTTGATTACTTTATATTAGGCTTAATAAATCTTTTGTGTCCTATGAAATTTGTACTGATGACTTTTCCCATGATTCATCTTTCAGGGAGACGTGACTTTGAACTATCTGCTGTAGATACTTTGGTTTGGGGTGGGGGGGCTGCTGTTTCTTTTTTTGTACTCCAGTTTTCCAGTTTCCTCAAATTTGTTGGGAACACACTGCACGACATGCTCATATATGCCAGAAAAACCTTATAAGACATTCAGAAAACCTCAAAATTTCTCAATAAGTGTCGCTCCTTTGAAACAAAATATAAAAATATGGCTGGTGGCTCAAAACTTTTCCACAGCACTGTATCAGTCCAATATTATGAAATATCTATGCCTTACATTGTGTTACAATATAAGGTGTGTACTTCATGTGCTTACTCTATGTGGAGAGTGTAAATTTGCACGTTGCGATCATGCAGGAGTCGCTTTCTGGGTGAATCCCAGGTGCAGCTGACAGATACCATGTCAAAGGTTACACAGCCGACGTTTCTGGGTTTCTGGGGTGGAACTACAATATACACACATATACATATACAGTTATACATGTACAAGTTCTGCATTAAATTAATAAAGAATACAAAAAAAGAAAGATTCAAACTTACAACTGATATAGTTCGAGACATGAACACTGTTGCCTGTTGCATCATCGCAGGTCAGTAACAAATGCTTAATTATTCCTTTTGGGATAGTGAGGTTGTTTACAGTAATAGCTTTTACTCCACCTCCAATGCTCAAAAGACGGTATTCCTTGTTCCTGAAGGTCATTCTTTTAACGTTCACCCCTGTTGGGGGAATACAGCAGAACATGGCACTGCTGCCCTGCCTCAGCACACGGCTGGAGGGAAAAATGTGGATCTCATCGTTTGCTTTGAATCCTGCAAGACAAAGTAAAATTACAGTGCAGTCTGATGAAGAGCTGTTCAGTATTTCATGCAAGAAAAAGTGTTGAAAGGTTTTTTTAATCCCTTGGTATGTTCTAGGGTTCTTAAAAGGGGAACAAAAATTGTATTGTTGCACTGATAGAGACACAAAAAACAAAGGGGATTCAGAAATGCCTCTGCTTTCTTTGCACCCATGTTCATTAAGGTGGATCAAGGCTGAGTGGCAAACTGTTCTGTGGTCTGACCAATCAAAGCTTTCAGACTTTTGTTTTCTTTTTTGGAAATGATGAACATTGCATCCTCCAGCTTATTGAGGAGAGAGGCCATCTGATTTGTCATTCATGTCGTTCATTCACCATCCTTAATGATATCGGGTTGGATTAGCGCATTACGGCATGGGCAATTTCTTTTAACTTCATGAGTGACGTCGTACCTGAGGACTATACAGATTCTAAGAAACGGAAGAATGGTTCTTTAGAAGAAAGACGAAATCGATTCGAATTTACATAGCTTAACACCCCCCCTCCCCCCCCCAAAAAAGAGATAAAAATAAACACCTTTTGACTCAAAGTATTCTGTCAAACATTATGTCTGACCACAGGGATAAGCAACACAAAAGAAAAGGGAAAAAATATGTTTTTACGCAGCAAAGTATTCTGTCACACCTGGTAAAGGCAATGTTATGACATGGGCACGACTGTAAGTGTTACATGATTTGCTAAAAGAAGCAGTATTACAACACAGGATGTCACAGAGACAGAAAAATAAGCAACAAACTGCAGTAAGCAGTGGGAGGGAGAACATACAGCACCTGGTGATGTCTATGGTTTCTAAACTTCAGGCTGTCCTTGACTCCAAATAATTTTCATCCAAGAATTAACAAAAATCTATATATTTAAAATTGTGTCCAGTAGTAAATGTGCCCGATTCCTTTTGAGTCATTGAAAACGGGAAATTATATTTAAAAATTGCTGTATAATATAGTAGAATAGAATAGAATTCAACTTTATTGTCATTGCACATGTCACAAGTACAAGGCAACAAAATGCAGTATATATAATATATATATATAATAGCTCATGTAAACCCTGAAGCCGAGAGTCGACATTTCAGTCACATTTTGCCTGATTAATTGTAGATAACCAACATTCTAAAAAATAAATACATAATAAATGCATCTATGAAATGTCTTTTTCAGTGAAAGCCTCACTTATTTCAACAAGACAATGCCAAACAGACTCGCTGTTGGACTCGCTTGGCTATTACAAAAAAACAACAACCCTGCCTTGAGTCCACACTGATGACCCACAGAAACTATAACATTTTTAAAAAGTTTCATTTTTATTACATTTTTTTTTTTTTTTTACATTTTTACTTTTCTTCCCTTATAGGTAGTAAACTAAAAAAAAAAAAAGAGTGTTGCAGACAACACCTTATTTCCCAACCATGTACATATTTGCATTGTATGCGTAAGATATATGTTGAAAGAGACGTTTGCAATTACTGCAGATGTTGAGAAACGCTTCATTCCTAAGAAAACGACAACTGCTGCTTTTTAACCTCATCAGTAAAACACGTAGGCTGACATTTAATGATCAGCATAACATCTCACCAGAGTTGGTTATCCAGTTGCTCCAAGGACTCTGGTCAGACTGATTATAGTATCGCATTCTGACAGAGTGATCAACACACTCCAGAGGCAGATCAGAGATCCATGTCCATGTGTATTCGGCCGAAACTCCAGGTGATACGCTCACATTTTTCTAGGTTAAAACAGGAAATAATTGTTCATAATAACACTGGTAGGTCTTAAAAGCAGGATTACAGAATCAATTAAATGTGGTGGTAATGGAAAAAAAAAAAAGATTTTAAACAGCATTAAAAACAGAAAACACACCTCTCAATACTCACAGTGTAAATAACGGTGAGCTGTTCAGTGCGGCTGAGCTCGATCTCATAAATGTCACCTACAAAACTGCTGTGTTTTACCAACCAGCTCACCACAAGGGTCTGCTTGTCATTAATAGCTTTCAGAGTGATGTTTGGTTTTGGCAGATAACAGCCTGGCATATGACAGAACAGAAGGACGTAAAGTTACACATTCAGGGTCCCAGAATGTTGGTCCTGTTTATTTAGACAATGAATAGAATCAACTTTCCGGAATTTCTTTACCTGTGATTGAGCAGACATCAAGACGACATATTGAGAGAACTTTAAAATGTTCAGAAAGAACATAAACGAACCCAACTTACCATCGTCAAAGCAACATTCGGTGTTCGAAAATGTCAGATACAACCCGAAAAGGCTGAAAAAGGATTTCCTGACATTTATCATCCTCTCATGTGAACCGTTTTTCACTGAGCACGCCAACTGAAAGCCTCATAAGTCAGCAGCAAGTGTTAGTACGAGTAGGAGTGCGAGTGTTGCATAATGTGTAATCGGAAGTCAAGAGAGGAGTGTTTAAATGCACCAATGGTGCTGTGCTGTTTTTCACATAAGTAAGAATGCACCAAAAACAGATGTTTGCCACAACAGTTTTATATATATATATATACATATATATTACATATATATATATATACACACACAATATGATAACACAGTTCTGATTATGAAGATTACAAGTCAAATTTTCAAACAAAATCTTATAAACGTTGACAGTGCATGAAGCAATTTTTAAGCAATAAATTATCTGAAATTTCAAGGAACAGGAGAAAAAATACACCCTCTCTTCACAGACATTACAGCATCAGACAGCAATATATTTTTGGCACTTAAGTGAGAAAACAATTCAACATATTGTGCATAGGTAGCCGCTCCGAAAAACTATACATGTATTTCATATTTATACACAATATAAGTCTATTTTTATTTCTCGTAGAGGCCCACAATCCCTTATAAATATCATTAAAGATAACTTGGAGAAATAATCTATATATAGTTTTAAAAAAAGGGGTTGATTGGCTTCTCATATATTCTTATTTCATTTTAAGTGCTCAAGACATCAAATTAATTAAATTTAAATTACATAAATTTTACTCTGTCCTGACTTTCTTGTATTTAAAGTCAAAAAGTTTGTAGCACAAAGGTACCTTTGTCATCAAACAAAGTGCACAGATACTTAAAAGATTTGTGGTAGAAGTAAAAACACGAGAAGTACAAATATAAAAGCTGATTTACAAAGAGCTTGTTTGTGAAAAGGCACAATGGTTTGATCACACAGGAGGAGAATGGTTAAAGTTCACAACATACAATGATAAAGGCACATACTGTACAGTCTGTTTATACTTTCTCCCTGCGATTACCTCTATATTTGATCTCTCCGATTTTAAAAGATGAACATAAATCCATCATATTTACATGGACATATATGCACGCACACACACACACACATTTAAGCAACAGACATATTATTGTTTGTTCAGTATACAACTGGTGGCCTATATTGTTTATTTTTCTCTCATGGACCTTTAGAGGTAAACAATGTTCTCCTCAACTCCCTCATCCCTATTCTCCCCCTCGAGAGAGAGGTACGCCTGAGGGGGGAGGAGAGGGTTAAGAGAGTGAGAGGAAGAGAAGCCGTCCTCATAAAGTCTATGCCCTGTGACCTCTGACCTCCACAGATCCGGGGATTGTTTGTCCACCACTGGTCTGAAGTTTGCTGAAAGAAGAACAACACAAAGTGTCAATTCAAGCCAACTTTATTTATAAAGCCCTTTAGAAACACCAACGTTTTGGTCAGTGGTTTTGTATTATTTATACAATTTAAAGAATACAAAAAAAGGAAAAATATATATGTATATAAAAATTACTAAACAAAATAAGGACATCAACATGACACATCAGTAAAAACAGTAGAAATAAAATAAAATAAAATAAAGATTTAAACAAAATTAAATCAAAATCTCAAACCGGGTCAAATGCCCAACAAAAGAGGTGCTTTGTTTGGCAAAACAAGTTAGTCAGGGAACCTAAGAGCAGATTTAAATATTAAGATTGAGGAGGCCCATCTTCTCCAGCTCCCAACTCTACAAGTTGGGATCTGCTACAACAAAAGCTCTGTCCCCATGAGCAGCTGCTGTGTCCTCGGACATCCAAGAGCAGTTGGTGAGCTGATCTGAGTGACCGGGAAGGGGAGTACAAGTGCAGCAGCTCAGAGAGGTCAGCTGGGGCAAGGCCATTTAAGCACTTAAAAACAACAAATACAATTTTTTTAAAATGTACTCTAAAATGGGTCTGCAGCCAGTGCAGTGAGGATAAAGCAGGAGTAATAAGCTCTCTCTTCGTGTTTCAGTTATAAGTCGTGCTGGGGCATTTTGCACCAGCTTAAGAGGGGACAGAGAGGACTTACTGACACAAACATAATGAAGCCATGGATTACTGTTTCAAAGTGATCTTTTGACAGAATGTTTTTCATTTTAACCAGCTGTTTCAGCTAAAAGTAGCTGGATTATCCCAGTGCACCGATCTGATTGTCCATCCTAAAACCCAAGACTATGCCAGCGGGCTTATGTTGATAGGAAAAGGCCCACCAGTGATACAAGGCCTAAAATTTAGGAAGTTTAGCGCCATCTACTCATTTGATTCCTCAAAGCAGTTAGCTGTTTGTATAATAATAATAATAATGGATTGCATTTATATAGCGCTTTTCTAGGCACCCAAAGCGCTGTACAATTCCACTATTCATTCACTCTCACATTGACACACTGGTGGAGGCAAGCTACAGTTGTAGCCACAGCTGCCCTGGGGCAGACTGACAGAAGCGAGGCTGCCATATCGCGCCATCGGCCCTTCTGG